CCTAAGTTTTTCTTATTCAAAAAACCCTAAAAGATCGAATGAAGGTGCTCTGCACTCTTCTCGCTCGGGCGACATTTGGGTTTCGGATGAAATCACCTTTTTTCAAGCGTGTTGTTTTACTTTTACATGTTTCGGGCCGGACTCGGGTCGGGTTGCGCCGTAAGAATGTCTTAATTTCATTTTTTAAGTTGTGGGAGCCACAGTTCCACGTGTCACCTTTTCATTGGACACGCACACATAGTTGCGTGCGGTGTCCGCACAGAATAAGCGCTCCTCCTTAAGAGCCTTCATGGCCTCTTTATCTTCGTTAGCACTCAATAAAGCTACACCCTTGTTGAGCTGAGCCCTCCAACTTTTGGGTCGAGGAGCCAAAAACCTAGTGTACATTTCCAACGCACTTGCAAACCTCCCAGTGTCCATTAACAGGTCCCCAAGATTATAAATTGCATCTACATGGTCGGGTTTAAGATCAGTAACCTTCTAAAATTTTTGAATTGCTTGCTCATCCTCAACCAACGCATGCAAGGCGGAACCTAGCTCGTAGTGGGTATAAGCATAGTTGAAACGTAAACAGAAAGCTTCTTTAAGAGCCTTCTCGACGGCACAGTACTTGCCCACACCAAAAAGCATGCTACCGAGCAGTTTCATGGCACGGAAATGAGTGGGAAGGAGAATAGTGGCCTCACAATAATGCTCACAAGCGTTCATCACCATGCCCTCTCCCTCGAGTGAGATCTTGAGGTTCACATGGATCTGGGTTAGAAGTTGTGCCCATTGGTTGTTGCTTGCCTCGGCAACCTCACGAGCGAGAAACAACTCCTCTTTGCGATTCAATCCCCTGTCAACATTAGAGTCGAATCTCTTGAAGATGCGCCACACCTTCTTAGCTCGAAGATTTATGGCTGTCAATGAACCGGTAGCTCGCTAACTAGACAAAAACGAGGCAGAAGAGTGAAAAGGGCAGTGCTCTGCCACAGAGGCAAAAGAGGTAAGGAAGAAGCGGAGTTTCAACTGTGAGAAAGACTGCAGGAGGAAATTTCTAGTGAAAAAACTAAAAAAAAAAAAGGAGACGGAAGAAGTGCCTACAGCACGGCAAAGATTGTCGACTAGGGAACAGAAAGTTTTCAGTGGCATGAGACTCTAAGATTTTTCAAGGCTCTAATACCATGTTCAAATTCAGAATGATGCGGAATAAAGCGAAATTATTTCATTGATATGTAAGGGGTTATAAACAACCCTTACATGAATCCTAAAATAGGAAAGGCAATAAAAAAGAAAATAATATGAAATGAAAGATATATAACCTAATATCTCCAATTAGCCAATTCATATTAACTATTTTGAGATAAAGGAAATAACATAAAATAGGAATACCTAAAATAGAAAAGGGAAAAAAATTTCAATCAAAGGAAATAAATCTAAAATAGGAAATGGCAAAATTATATTAGGAAATAAATCTAATCCTCATAACTTCAAACAGGAATAAATTATTTCCTAATAAATCTTCTAACAGTGCATAGTGTCTTTCAAGAATAGAGCATGAAAACTATTAGCCTCACTAAGTAAATGGATGATATTTACCACTTCAAGGATTCCAATGATCAAGAAATCTCCATAAAACCTTAACTATTATTTCTTCTCATGGAAATCCTTAAATCCAAATGAGAACATAATTAGGATTGCTAAGTAAATGGATGATATTTACCACTAAGAGAAATCTAATGATCAAGAAAACTTCATAAAACCTCGACTATTATTTCTTTGCTTGGAAATCCTTAAATCCAAACAAGAAAAAATTTGACTTCAGCATCTACACCTTGGCCACACATTCTTTATTTTCCTCAAAATCATGTTTTCTTCATTATTCAAAGAAATCAATATTAGAAAATTCATTGTGATATTTGTGAACTAACAATACACAAATATACCATTCTTTCAATAAGTAATATGAGAGCCCTTATTTGTTTTTCTCTCATTCACAATGACATGTGAAACCCATCTTCTACACATAACATCTTTAGAGCTTCGTTGTTTGTGGTTTATCGACGATTGCACCTACACCTTATTCTGTTTACTAAGGCCAAAAAAGATGAAAATACCATCTCTTTCAACTTTTTAAGATAATAAAAAATCAAATTGGTAATGAGATTAAATGAATCAAATGAAACAATGCTAAAAATTGCTCTAACCATTTTGCCCTCATACTTCCCAAAAAAAAATAGCACGAGTACTATTTGTGTGTCTATATTCTAACAAAACGGAGTAACTGAGCGAAAGAAAAACCACTGTTGATATCATAATAGCTCTCTTTCTCAATAAATATCCTAAAATAATGTTAGGACAAACAATTTTATAAATTGCCAACATATTAGACTGGTTACCTACAATTGTCATTGGATCTAAGATTTCTACACAAGTCCTAAACAAATTATTTCCCCATTTTGGTACCTCGAATAACTTTGGAGCCCAATATTTGAAATATTGCCACTATGAAATTTCTTAGGTTTTAGGGAATTCGGATATTGGTCAAGATAGTGGAAGATTTTTCATAGTTACCGTTATGATTACAGAATAGGGTTAGGAAGCATGTAAGAAATTTATTGAATCTTGAATTAAATTTATATTTCGATCAACAAATTCTTCTTCATGATTAACTTTTGATCAGTGAAAGATTCAATGAATTCTAGGAGAGGTCCTTTTAAAAGTATGAGTCTTGCTTTCTGGTAATTTCATTTTATTTCTTACTTTTCTTCTTCCTTTATGATGTTTTTTATTATCGGTTAAAAGTGAGATTGTGTTTAGTCGGGCTCATTAAACTTTAGATAGACTCATTAAACTTTAGGTTTTTTGTTTTTTTTGTTTGATTTTTCTTTTTTTTGTGCTTATGTGAAATTTCAATTGTGTGCATGACTTTAATGATCATTAATTCTACTAGTTAATTTATAGTAGATAAACATACAATTTTCATTTAAATCAATTTCTATCATTTCCGTCTTCAATAAAGAAGACAATTGTTATTTAGGATTACTAGGAGTTCTGAAAAATAACGGCAATAAAGCGAAAAATTAGAATGAGAAATTAGCAAAATAATAAGCAACACACAGATTTACATGGTTCGGCAAACTGCCTACATCCACGGAGTTGCAGAGGATTTTATTATTTTGAGGATTACACTCGTCGATAGCCTCAACGATTACAAGAATAAATTATTTCTTCCTCTCTCCTTCACCTGTGAGCCAAAGGAAAAGAAGTTTGGGAACTGTTGTCGCGAACTATTCTCCCGTTGGGAAGACCTTCCCGCGAAGCCTGCTATTTGCCCGAATTGTTGTCATCGAAGAAAACCTTCCGCGAGACCTACTATTTCCCAACCTGTTCTCCACGAAGTTGCTCTTCCCTGAAATCTTGTGCATGCAACGAACAGTTCACCCTGCTCGAACTCTTCACCACCCCGATCAACAGAGATCGAGAGGCTCTTTTATAGCAACGAAGCAAAGCAGAAGAGGCGAGATCCAAGAGACGAAGGTGCGAACAAGGAAGCTCATCCAATCGAGGAAAGGTACGAACAACGAAACAATTATATCAGTAAAGTAAATAAGTGAGGATTATAATCAAATAATTTCCATAACAGTGAGCGCGCCAAATAAGGAAGTGGACAGCGCTCCATACTCAACACTAGGTTGTGACATGTAAATTTTACATGTCTACAACATGGCTTTTCACATCACATGTTAGATCTATATTAGAAATCCTATGATGTCCCACGTCAATTTGCTTATAAGCTGATTTTTAGTTTAATTTTATTGGACTTGATCAATATCATTCATACGTGCATCTTCAGTGAGTCATATAGAACTAAAAATGTTTGCTCCAAAATTTTATTATAGATCCAATAAATCTAGAATTCAATATCACTATAGCTAATGAATTAAAAAAAAATAAGCATAAGAAAGAATCAGTGAAAATTAGCATATGTTAGAAATATCTCGATCTAGAGGTTACATTTAACTTCCAAGAGCAATCTTCACCTTCAATCTCTGGATTGGTGTTTAGATAAGTGATGCACTGACTAAATGAACTATAAAAGAAGATTGAATTATAATACATAAGCGTACATTAAATTGCGGAAGACGGTCACATCAAACTAAGTTAGTAGTTTGTACATCTACAATTGGAAAGACCCAAGTTCATTTTTTATACCCTTTAACTTCCATGTTAGCGATAAATATTCTCATTTCTAAACCAAAAAGATGAGAAAAAATAAGGCATTTTAAGGTGAGAATAACGAAATAGGATAAAAAGCAAAATTAAGATTTCCGAATCGACAGATCCCTAACCAAGCCACGTCATCTTTTGATGTAAAATTCGATATTATCAAAGACATGTAACATTATTCATGTTAGTTATGTTCCTCACTGCTCAACTGTAAATAACAAAGCATTGAGTTTTATTTAGTACTTACATTGTATGAAACAATATGGTAGTTACATCTCTCAATCATTTTTTTTCCTCTTTTAGTGACTTTTGCATGCCAGCCAGCTTATTTAAAAAGTTCATGAACTAGTAAGAAATTGCAGAGAAGGCCACAAAGTTTGCTTGATCTGCAGTACCTTTTTTTATTATTATTGAAATTAATGTAAAAAAAATAACTAGTCATTGCACACCAACCAATGGAGAATGCACAGAATAGAAAGTGTAGGTCACCTTCCCCGTGCATAGGATCATATGAGCTGTAAGTGTCTAAGTGGCATTATGGCCAGCATATCTTAAGCAGTTTCTTTACGTCATTAAGTTCCTGATCTATAAAGGGCTTGCATCTGTTTATGTGCAAACTAGATCAAAATTTTGATTTGCAATAAATTAGCATCCTAAACAGAGAACCTATTCAGGGTATGTGCTCTTCAAATATAAAATGAAAAATAATTTCATCCAATTATTGAAGCACCAAATAGCACTAGCAGTTAATTTGCAGTAGCTAGAATCAAATGAGCAATCAAAGATACCTCTGCATGGTATAAGGGCCTTCTGGAAGGCGCCTTCCTTCTTTCAAGCAATCTTCGAACCAACAATGGCTGATTATAAGTGTTCCGACTTTTCGTGCTAAATCATATTTCTTACCCTCAAACTGCCAGCAAACCTGCCTAGTCAACAGTATCACACAATCAAAGCTCATATATCCAAAAATTGATAGGCAAACTAACTAGAAATTTACTCAAACATTTGTGTGTTAATCTTTTGATTATTGAAACAGTTAAGAAACTAACCAGATGTGTAATGGATCTATCCATATCGCCAACATAATTAGCGCCAGTACATACAATCAGTTTAATTACTTTACATCTCTCGGTACCATGGTAACCACTAACTGTGGCAGCCACGGACTCCATGCCTATAATCGGGTGAATTCCAGAATCTGCAAAGTTAAGAAAACTGTAAATAAAAAAAGAAATCTTCACATACAGAGCAACCATAAGCTTGAAATAAACAAAACATGTAAACTGAGGCAAAAACGGGCTAAGGCCTTGTATTCGGATATTGAGAGTGCATTAGTAACCTACAGGAATACTACAGCATAAACAGAGGACCATTTCTTTGTCCAAGAAGCACACTTCCCGAGAACTCATATCACTCTCACAAAAATCCATTCATTAATCAACCCATAATACATCCACATGAGAAAATTGAAAGCGATGAAAAAATCGATAAGATCTGATACCAATACAAAATTACAGAGATACAGTTGAGCATGCATTGGAGAAAGCTGGGAAACAAATCGATTAATAGTAGAGAGAATAGAAAGAAAAAAAAAACTTTTTCCGGGAATGAAAATATAAGACAGAAACGATACCTTTTGATATATTGCTGCAATCAACTTCGTGTAATTCGTGCTCCATCCCACAGGCTAGGGTTTATGCGAGTAGAAATTATCAAGATTTTTGAAACAAAAGCTAAAATGGCTCGTGAGATTCTGTTTTGGGGCTATTTGGCAGCCCGTTTTAAGCAGGATTTACGCAGAACTTACCTTCATAAATCCCGAGCTCCCGTAAATCTCAAATTGACGCTATGAATCCGGGACGAGCGAAGAGGAAGAACAGTGCGAACAGGCTTACCTCAATGGTATGACCGTTGCAGGATGAGAAAAATGGGAGTTTCCCTGCCATCACTAAGGGTAGGGCTGGTTCGACTTTTGGCGCCCATCAAATACACGAATCGAGTCCGAAGCTAAAAATTTTATGCGACTGATTCTAATTTGAATTGAAATCGCTTGTTAACAACCCTAATTATATAAAAGAGGTGAATTTAATAAATTTAGGTCAAAGATGGTCAATCGCTTGAAAGTTGATTTGAATTTTGGCACGAATCAAGATCCGATCTAGATAAAAGAGCCGAGGTATCAGTCAAAATTTTGGATCAAATTTTTTTCAAACCGATCTTAGGCTCACTAAAGCTCGGCTCGAAATCAGATTGTTAATAGCCTAATTAAGGGGGATTAGATAAACTCTATATTAAGTTAAATTTGAATTTAATAAATCCACTTATTAGTGAGATTTAATTGATTTATCTTGAGGAAAACAATTTTTCAAATAGAGTTAGGTCAGACACATCAAATAGATTTAACTGGATTTAAAACCAAACATTATTTTAGATTTAATAATATTTAGATATGATAAATTTGGATTTATTGGATTTACCAAGTTTTATTTAACGTAAATCCTATCTGTAGCAAAACACTCCCTAAAGTTGTATTTGGTAGCATAATATTAATTTAGTCATGGATTTAGCTTAAATAATTTCCAATATCAAAAAACTAAACATTAAATCCAATGTTTTGTTTAATCTTTTTTTTTTTTTGTTCTATCTATTTTTCGTGGTCTTCTTTTTGGATGTAAATCTAGATTTATTAAATCCAAGTACGAGACAGATTTTTTCCATCGATTGCTCGCAAACTCTGTTGTCTAAGATAAATCTAAATTTATCATACTTGAGTCATACTTGACGTAAATTTAAGTTGAAACCAAACACAACCTAGGGCTTCATCTCCTCTCAACAAATTTATTTTAATGGCAAAAATTTTCCCTAACGAATCTTTAGAGACGTTCATCAGATGAAAATTTTTACAGATGGCTCCATTCACTCCAACCGAACAGAACTTCATCGTTTTCTAAAAGGAAGCCTATGTCGTAATCTCAACTTTGCCATAATATCCAACTAGCTTTAGTCGTGAGGTGATGGTTTTAGGCGAATTTGGGATGGGAAGGGACATAAACTAGAGTTTGGATGTAAAATTGGATTCAAACTAAATCTTAAACTAGTACGTGTCTAAATATAATTTATATATAAATTCAAAAGAAATGGAAAATCCTGACCCAACCAGTCTAGAATTAGGGTTTGCACTTGATATCAAAAATAATGTGGTAGAAAATTGTAAATAAATATATAAAAGCTTCTCAAGTTTTAGGGTTTAGGTTTAAAATATTTTCTCGCTGTCAAAAATGAAGAAAAATAAATAAAAATTTGAAAAGAAAAAATTATGAGGATCGAACCAAAGGTGCAGACATCCTACACTTATTACATCAAAAATTGATGTCAACACCTACTAATTTAGATGAGATGCAAAGCAACTATGAAATATCTAAAAAGTCTTGGCATGCCCTATTTATAAGAATCATCGGCACAAAATCTATGGAGTTCACTTATTAACACTTTGATTGTGAAATAAATGATATATACTTTTATATTTATTTCTCTTATTCTTAGTGCATGACACTTTCTAGAAGTAAACAACCAAAAAACTAAAATATATACATTAAGAATGCGCAAGCACGAATCCCAAGGAGATACAACCGTTTAGAAGGAGTGGAGTAAGACAAAGGAGTACCCATCGACAGAACATCAAGAGGCCCACTTATCCAATTACATGGAGTCATTCTAGCCAAGGACGAAGGCTAACCGAGCCAAGAGAAGGAGAAAAAGAATAATCCAATTTTGAACCAGTTAGACCAGAGCAAAATAGATAAGAATTCGAGTTTACCACCACTAGAAACCCGAGTGAAGGCATCAACCCACCTCTCAGTAGAACCAACATGAGGAAAGAATCTATTTCCTCATCACTCCAACAGTCCCACGAATGCCTGCGAGGTTCCTCATCAGGGATCAGGAATTTTCAATACAATAGAGCCTCACAATCATTCTGAAGGGCCCCCTCATCGATGAATAAGCTATATATCGGGTTACAGTAATTTATTCTTGCTAGATAACCTAATCACGTTCTGCTGATAGGAGCCCCTAATCTAGAGATCGAGGGTGGATAACTAAACTAAATCAACCAATCAACAGAGCTTAGCTAACTAAGTCAGTCTTGCCAACCTGAAATTAATCAAGTCCAGCTGATCAACTACATCAACTCTGCCCAGCCGACTAAACCAATTATATTAAGCCAAACCCATGCTAGCCCAGCCAACTAAGTCATAGGGTAGTCGAAAAATAGACTAACACATGTAAAATATCTAGAATACCTTGTATACGCCCCATTAAAGTAGAAACAAAATTATGATATCAAATGTTGTACACTATCCCTTATAAATAAAGAGATCATTTTGTGAGAAAATACCATTAGACAAGATATTTTATCATTCATTATTGTCCACTCCACTCCCTCTCTCTCTCTCTCTCATCTTTTTTATGCTTTAACTCTTGAGGTGTGATTCATGGATAAATCAGGATTCAGCACAAACATTTGTTTAAAATTTACAGTGAGTTTTAGATATCGGCAAAATGCAAATCTACTAACTAGGATTTGGAAGAATATAATTATATCAACTAAATTTTCGCACTCATATAGAGAAATGGTTTGATCAATTCTAAACTTTCTTAGTCCATAGACATATAAAAACAATTTAAATTTTAGATTATGGTTTTTAATTATTGATGGAGATAAGAAATCATCATTTCTCTTGAATGAAGAGTGTAGTTGTTTTGAATTCATAATTTAGGTAATTAAATCGATAAATTTGTAAATCCAAGAGTTTATATTAAATTGATTATTTTTACTTAGCAATTTTGACTAAATCATATAAAGTTTAGAAAATTGATTAGAAAATTAGGGTTTTGGAGACAAGTGTTTATATAATTATTTTTCTAAATTGATGTTTACATTAATTCCCATGAGAACGATTATGGACTCGATTCACTTTATTACTTAAACCATAAATGCAATTTTATTGATCGTGTATAAGCTTGAACAATCACATAAAAAACTTAACTAATGTTAATGCATTACAAATCCAATAGAATTATAAACATACCATAAAATAATTGAAGATTGAATAAAAAAAAATTGCAAATCTCTATTTTTTTTTTTATATATATATAAAACTTGCTATTGCATTTTTTGCAAAATAGATGTTAGCAATACTTATTAAAATCATAACACTATTTATATCACATGGCAACATTTTTCAGTCATTGTATCATATTACATACATAAGCTTAATCTATAAATACACCAGATAAGGTATATACTTAACTCAGGGTATGTGTGTATAAGCATACAAAAGGAAGATCCCAATATTTGCAAGTTTGCATGATATGAAGACATAAAGACCTTTGAAACTCTCTCCTTTCTCTTCCGACAACATTGGCAGACGAGATCGCACATACAAAGAACTTTGAAGTTCCCTCCTTTCTTCTTCATTGACAGGATCACACGTATAAATTAAGGTTGACACTGGCAAGAAGGTTGGAGAAGAAAAGTGTTAACACAAATGTGAATTTCATAATATTCAAACTTAGAATATAAGTAAAAAAGAAATGTTTTACATGCTAAGTATGTAAGAACCCCTTTTAAGTATAATGTTGAATTCAAAACTATCATGTGAGTGCTCGAGAGGCAGAGCACGTCAACCAAGAGATAAAAGATGGGAGAGAGAGAGATTTTCCCCATTGGGGGGCAAAGAGGAGTGTTTTCGGGATCTTTTGCCCCTTTTATTCCTTAGAAATATAGATTACAAGAGAGGGAAGGGGGAGAGAGATCTCCCTATATGGGGGTTTAAGAGAGAGAGAGAGAGAGAGACCCTTACACATGCCAAGTGTCATCTATTTATAGTAAGAGAGAGGTAATAGATGATTACAACAATGCCCTTACTTTATGGGGGCAGTAGAGGTATTTAGTCCTTTCCTTGCTTGGATCTCATGACTTAGGGCATTTCCATCGTTAAAACTCGCCGATGTCGTCAGCAGGCCAGAGGTGGCAAGCTAGTTGCTGGTAGTCGGCCGAGATGGCCAGCCGACCAAATGTGGCCGACCTATTGGAGGTGGTCGGCCAGATGGTCTTTTGTGGCCGGCCCAAGCGACCAACCTACTAAAGGTGGCCGACCTAATACAGGCTCACTGGAAGTGGTTGGCCAGGGTGGTCGTTCGGCTGGGGTAGAATAACAGACCCAATATATCTGACCGGTTGAAAAGTTAGCTGGCCAGGATAGACGACCGGCTGGGATAAAAA